ATTTGGAATCCAGGAGCCTGGTGTTTCTCCCTGCCCACCTCTTCCGTGCCTCACAGTGCCATGGGGCACACTGGCTGAGTTTTGGTGATTTTATGCTCTCAAAGAAATAGAAGAGGATGACCTTCCAGGTTGAAGGAAATCCTTATCAAAGCTGGAAAGACTGAGGGAGTGAATTAGCTTTTTTGTTGTTGTTGTTGTTGAGTTGGAGTCTCACTCCGTTGCCCAGGCTGGAGTGCAGTGGCACGCTCACGGCCACCCCAGCGTCGACCTGCTGGGCTCCGGCAATCCTTCCATCTCAGCCTTCCAAGTAGCTAATTTATTTATTGTAGAGATGAGGTCTTGCCAAGTTGCCCGGGCTGGTCTCGAACCTGTGGGCTCAGGCAATCCACTTGCCTCGGCCTCCCTAAGTGCTGGGATTACAGGCTAAGCCACTGAGCCCGCCCTGAATTAGCTTTTTTCTTTTCTTTTTTTTTGAGTTGGAGCCTCACTCTGTCGCCCACACTGAAGTGCAGTGGCACACTCCCGGCCACCACAGCCTCGACCTGTTGGGCTCCGGCGATCCTTCCACTGCCCCAGCCTTCCAAGTAGCTGGAACTACAGACGTGCTACCATGCCCGGCTATTTTTAAAAAAAATTTATTGTAGAGATGAGGGCTCGTCAGGTTGCCCAGGCGGGTCTCGAACCTGTGGGCTCAGGCAATTCACTCACCTGGGACTACCAAAGTGTGGGATTACAGGCTGAGCCACCGAGCCTGGCCGAATTAGCTTGTTAAAGATGAAAGAAACCAGACATGGTGGCTCACGCTTGTAATCCCAGCATCATGGGAGATTAAGGTGGGAGGATGGCTTGAGTCAAGGAGTTGGGGACCAGCCTGGGCAACATAGCCAAACTATGTCTCAAAAAAAAAGCTAGCCTGGTGGTATGCACCTGTAGTCCCAGCTACTTGGGAAGCTGAGGCAGGAGGATCATTTGAGCCTAGGAATTTGAGGTTACAGTAGCTATGACCATGCCACTGCACTCCAGCCTTGGTGACAGAGTGAGACCTCAACTCTAAAATAATAATAATAATAGTAATAAAAGATGAATCAATAAGTCTTCAGAATGCTGAGTCCATAATGGGTGTGCTGCAGGATATATTAAGTATTATTAAAGAAGGACAAGTAGACACATGTCCTGATCTGTATCATCAGTCAAGTAATTTCTAAATCATTCATGCAATAAATATTTACTGGGCTTTCATTACGTGCCAGGTACAGTTCTAATTGCTAAAGCTACAACCATGAGCAAATGAGACATGGTTCCTGCCCTCGGGGAGCTCCAAATTGAGAGGCAGAGGTAGATGTCAGTCAAACCATGACACAAATAAGCAAGCAAATCATTTCACCTGTAGTCCCAGCTACTTGGGAGGCTAACGCAGTAACTGCTGGAAGGAGGACCAGGGAGCTAGGGAGGAGTGTAAGAAGATCTTATCTAAGATGTTAGGGAAGGCTCCAGTTAGGAGGCAGCATTAGAGCTGAACACCTGGGCCGGTAAGGGTTATCCTCAGGTTGAGAGAGAGGGTTACTTTCAGGAATAAGGGCTGGAGCCCACTGGGAAGCTAAGCCAGTGTAAGGGGTTCAGCCTGACTACAGAGAAGGAAGGCCCAGTGGAAGTAGGGGGGAGGGGGTCAGGGAAAACCTGATGGGCCCTAGGGAGGAGGACACACTATCTTTTTGCAGGTCTTCAAGCAGAGAAGTAATGCGATCACATTTTGTTTTGGGTTTGTTCCCTGGACAGAAGGAGACGAAGCTTGGAAGCAGGGAGACCAGTGGGTTGGCTGCTGTCGAATTTCTTAAACCTTTCCATCAAAGTTCTTATTAAAGATAGAGGAGGCTGAGCACAGTGGCTCATGCCTGCAATCTCAGCTCTTTGGGAGGCTGAGGCGGAAGGATCCCTTGAGGCTAGGAGTTCAAAAGCAGACTGGGCAACATGGTGAGACCCCTGTCTATAAAATAAATAAATAAATAAATAAAGATAAGGAAATGGACTTCTGTCTCTGCAGAGTCTACAGGAATTCCTTTGAAGTCTTTTGTTTTGCATTTATTTTTGTTGTTAAAATCACAAGTTACCAATTTCATTACTATCCTTCCAGAGTTATTCTGTACATAAGCAAGCATTATATATTTATTCCATCAATTAAAAATGTAAAACATAGCATACTATATCTTGCTTGTTTTCATTTTATAATGTATCTTACAGACTGTTCCATTTTTTTTTTTTTTTGAGA